ACACACACACACACACACACACACACACACACACACACACACACACACACACGCACAACACACACACAAACAGACACACAAAATCCCTAACATATGTCGCCTTTATTCAAACAGCCATGCTCTGAGACACTTGCAGACGCTCTGGGAGTATGGATAACAGGAGGCTTTTTTGAAGCAGCAACCAAAAATAAATTATCTGATTTATTGATTTGTCCCTGATTGTCATTTGTGCCTTTATAATGTGGGTGCAGATTGCTTGAGTATGAGACACAGACAAATAGTCACATAGATATGTAGATAGTTATAAAGATTACATTATTATATCGTAGGATAGGTGGTTGATGACATGGTTTCGATGGTACGTTTCTACGAACATTAGAAACATTTACATTTAGTATTTAAATTAATATTGTTATTGAAGTGTATGTTTTCATATTAATTGACAAGCCTGTTTTTTTAATAGCTTACATGTCATGTGACCCAGTGAGTGAGCATTGTATGGACACTGGACAAGTTGTTGTTTTGTACCCTCTTTTGTATTGGAAAGTATTCCCAACCCATTTCTTTTGAAACATACAATACATGTATACAGTTGTCAAATGACAAACCAGACCAGAAACATAACAAAGGCAGCAATAATACAGCTGCATCTCTTGAGACATTTATTCATAAAGAAGTTTTGTCCTTGTTGAAAAAAATAGCCAAGCAACAGGTTCAATGCTACATTCACATTTGCTGGTGTATGTACAGCACCATGAGTGAGGGAAGTAACTGTGTAAATCATTAAAAAGGTTCAAACAATGCTTGCTTTTTAATTTCCCCACACCTGGTCAATCGCTGTAAAGTGGGCATCAGATTGTCTTGAGTAGAGAAGTTACATTATAGTTACAAAACTGTTGGCTCTAATCTGAGTAGTTGATTTTCTTGTATTGTTGTGTATACACTTTATTAGGTGTGGTATACATGTGTGTTCTTTATATTTGACATCATCTTCATACTTTGTCACAACGGTGCATGTATTTTGTTTTTTTCTGACAGCAATTCTCATTCTGAATTTCCTTTACGTAATCTGTTTAACATTTACTCGAAATATGAAAATAAGCTTGAAATGGAAACTGTTATCTACTATTTGTTCAATCGAAATTCTACAACATAAGTTTGGAAAACAAAGCTGTCAGCAGATACATCCCCCCAAATATAATGTAAGAAAGATTGGTGCTGTTTGAGCATTAGACTTAAGCCATATGCACGTATATACACGCCCTTTAAGCACATTTGCATAACACATGGAGTTATTATTATAAAATAATAAGACGAATTATACAAGATCAGTAGTGAACATTTGCTAAGATAACATTTGATTTACAGTCATGTCCTGTATCCGATAGAAATAAGGTTATTATACCTGCCACATCTCTTATACACACCTTACTTTTGTTGTACCAGAAAATAAAATACAGAGGTTAATTAAAGCATTTGTGCAAATTGGAAATGATCTGCAAAACATGCAACTAAAAACACAATTTCTATAACAGTATGATATTCATCCTGATTTCAAAGTCAAAAATAAATGTAACACTGTAGGGTAATATAACAAAAACAGTGGGTCGAGCAAGTATAATTAAGTCTAATACTAACACACATTGAACCAGAGCTCATCGTTCATGAGCAGGACGAGGTACTTGCTTTAAATTCTTCCATACTTTTTAGTATATTCATTTCATATTGATGTAGTTCATTTGCATAAAGTTTGACACTATGTGTGGCATAATCAAAAACAAACTGGCACTTACATGAGGTAACTCAATAGGTGCCACAGTTATCAATTAGATAAGAGTCTATTCTTAATTGTCTTCATTTTCTTATTCGCTCACTAAAATCGACCCTCCATCACCTGTATGTGTAATTGTAACATACTCATCTTACTAAAAACATGCTGAAATACTTTCAAATCCTTCTCACACCTTTGACTTCACTTTCACAGCTGTCTTTCTGTTTTCATGATTTGATTGGAGTTTCTTCATAGCATGGCAGTGTCTCTTTGGGCATACCAAATCATATATGTGGAAGGAACTTATGTAAATATATATGTAATAGCAAAACAAAATTGAACAGAACTTTCACATGGCAAGAAGTTCCACTGAATAAAACATCCATATAATAAAGAACAGTAAGACACAAAGCTGAAATAACAGCTCAATACATTTTACAAGTTAAATCTGAACAGTGAGAAGTTGCGGGTATTCTGCAATTATCACATGTTTGTTTGCTCACTTCATACACATGTTAGTTGTTTTAGTTATTCACACACTGTTTTGGCAGGTTTCTGTATTTGTAGTCCTTTTTCCACCTGTGATGAGGTCCAGATGGATGTGATCAGGTGCAGCAGGAGAAGTTGGGTTTCTTCCTGGGAGCATCTAACTTGGGCAGCGACCGATACTGATCTTTGTCATCAAAAGCAGCCTGTTTTGTTACCTGCCTGTAGGGTGGAAGGAAAACAGAAGAAATAAGACATTTATGTAACAAAAAACATTTTTAATGTAATGTTCATTTATATTTTACAGTATTAGTTGTCAAAAAGATCAACACAGGAGAAGCTACGGTATATAGATCTTAAACAAATATGACTAGAGCTGCAACGATGACGACTAATCGCTTTCTCTGATCAGAAATGATATGATGATTTATTCATCGTTAGTAATCTTTGTATGCAGAATATCAGAAAAGGCTGTTTTCAGCTTTTAAAGGAGCCTGTTTTATATTGTGCTAAATGAAATACCTTTGTTTTGAACTGACAAAACCAGACATTTAAAGACATCATCTTTGAGAAACTAAATAGACATTTGAAACTATTTTTGAGATATTATAGATCAAACAAGTAATTGATTAAGATCACTCAAATCAATGAAAACCAAGTCCGCAAAAAACAAGAATGTATGCAAGTAAAATAGTTGTAGACAATGCAAGAGTTAAAAAATTCACAGGAAAACTGCACATTTGACCTCCATATTAGTTTTCCTTTGCAGTTCTACTTTACACACCAGAGGGCAGCAAATGACAAAATTACAGGGCATTGTCTGTTTTATAATGCACGCAGTACAAGGAGGTCCTTATTCTTTTTTTGTATTATTATTGAACTTTAACCTTTAACAAATCATTTTTCTCAGCTATGTTTAGTATCCCACTAAGCCATGCGGGCAGACCTGCATATACAACACATGTCCTCTGGAACAGCTAATGAATACAAGCAAGTCTATAAAATAACTAAACCTATATTTAACATCTGAAATGTCTGCTGAGGAGTAAAATACTTATAGACTAAGACAAACGTCCTGGTTGTGTGATGTGCATTCTTCAGAAACAGTGTCTCACCTGGCGAGGTGCAGCACGGCCTCCAGGATGTTAGAGCCGTCTTTGGCACTAGTTTCACAGAACAGAGTGTTGTAGGTCTGTTGGGTGAAGACATTAAGAATAAGGCTTTGTATATTTGGATTAAAATAGGACAATGTGGGGAGTAAGGGGTTAGGCGGTGTACCAAATGTTTAAAGTTAGTTCATTAAAATAGACTTTAAGTTTAGTAAAGTTATTGGTTGTTTGATATTACCATGGCCAGTTTCTCTCCATAGCTTGTAGGGACACAGTTATTGCCATCTTGTCTAAGATCACATTTATTACCCACAAGCATGATGGGAATATCTTCCTGGGACACGTCCTGTTATGCAAACAAAAATAATTGAACAAGGTTAAACAGCAATAAATACATTAGAAATCCAAATATTAATGACCTCAATAGTGTTAACTGATATATTGTTGTACTGACTTGGTGATTACACAGAATACATTAACTAATAACCATCAAAGACCGCACATGACATACACATACAGCATGCAAAATAAAAAAATCACAGAAATGTCAACAATGTAAACAATGCACATCCAACACTTACATATCTGCTGCGTGTAACAAAGAGAGAAACCATCATGATCATTTAGTTTGAAATTCAAATGAACAGTAACTCACATCTTATAAAAACAGAAATGCTACCGGTACGAATTGAGATAACGAATTGAGTGGATAGATTTCATTTTCACTCTATTCTGATCATTTCTGTGACTTATCTTTGCTAAATACAAACATTGTCAGTCAGCAACTCTTTAGCAGAAAACATTACCTCGATCATGTCCACCCACTCTCGAACATTGAGAAAGCTCTTCTCACAGGTGACGTCGTACAGTAGCAACACACCGTCTGCCCGGCGGAAATACGACTTTGCAATGCTGCGAAACCTGAGAGGAGGGAGGAAAGGGTTCAAAATACACACAAAAAAAATGTATAAATACATGAGGTCTGCTTATGTGTGTGACGTGTGTATACATAAAAAAAAATTGCAGCACATAATACATTTTTTAAATATATATTATAATGAATATTGTTGCATTTAAATTGTATCCAACACACACCTCTCTTGTCCCGCAGTGTCCCATAGTTGTAGTAAGACGGGCTCTCCATCAACGATTAGTGTCTTCATTTGGAAATCCACTCCTGAATACACAAAGGAGACACAGCATGTTAAGTCACACTTCCATGCTGGCACAAAGCTGGAACACAGTTTAATAAGTAGTCAGGCCCTTGCTCAGTGGCTGATCAGATTACTGAATATGTACTGTAGCTATGACTACATGTCACTTTGTGCAGAAATTAATCATTAACCAGTCAGATGGCAATTCTTGGGTGACATTATTTGACAGGTCAATGAGGATTAAGTTAGAAAATAAAGCTATAAATAAAGTTATTTGAACACAAGATTTCCAAACGTTGGTTTTAGTCTCTCCAGCTCACCCAGTGTAGCGCTGGAGTTCAGTTTGTATTCGTTCTTGCAGAGACGAAGCAGGAAGCTGGACTTCCCCACAGCTGCGTCTCCTGCCAACACGATCCTGTAGGCCTTCTCTGACGTCATGTAACCCAGGTCAGCGCTGTCTTTGTTTTCCTTCTGGAGAGACAGGCAGAGCACAGGTAGGGAAGGGAGGCACTCATGCAACACTTGTATTCTGCACATTTATGCCATGTTAAATTTAACAAAATATGATGTATGAATATATGTTGTCCTCAGCATTGACCACTTTTCAACTGCTGCTTTTCTTATTTGCATCTTGGCCTCTCATCAACTCTCTTCAGTGAAGGAAATGAGGGACTTATGTACCGTTGCAGGACAGGCTATGTTAAAAAATACATCAAATAAAATCTAAAGCCCGACTGACAGCAGCTAGAGTTTCTAATTTACATAACACAACCGTTTTTCTGATTAATAGAGGACAAACTGATCAATTGCTAGACTTAATGGTGTGTGGGAGCTAAAAACTATAACATTTTTCCTGAAAACAAATCCCAAAATCTAATTTGAGTGAAAGAAATCTATGATTATCAACATGAAATCTGGCCTGTAGCTGTCACATATTCTCACCTGAACACTGATGGCACTGAGGGGTTTCCTGGTGGTCGGGGGTTTGACCACGCTAATGGATTCAAGGTTCCAGTCCAAAACTGAGCTGCCGTCTGACCCGAAAGCAGATTCACCGTCCAGAGTATCTGCTGGCTGTGATGCACATGCACAGAATCAGACATTAATACAAAAATATAATCAGACAGAATTTACGATATGGATAGATAGTAACTCTTGCAAAGCATTTTATTTTTGAAGTACTGCGAAAAAGAAAAATCTCAGTTATTTACTTTCCATATTCTGGGCATGAAAATGTCTGAATTGTTGAATGCATTTGCGGAAATGTTGTACAGATAGGTGTTGCCCCCGGAGGATTATTCCTTTTCATGTAGCACTGTCATCAAGTTTAATTTTCATTGTTCATTATTGTAGTTTAGGTTAGAAAACCTGCAAATTAGCCTCAGCTGCACTCTTTGTTATATACAGAGGACTTAGCAAATGTTAGCATGCTAATGTATGGTAAACATGATACCTACATTAGCATGATCTTTTTGAGCATGTGAGAATGATGATATCCTCACAGAGAGCCATAACTATAGTTGGAAACCTTTACTATCAAAAGAGCCAAACGTATTTACAACATTAAACACATTTCATCATTCAGCATGTCAAAGTGTCTTTGGGCAAGATAGTTAGCTCTTAATTGCTTCGATAGGCATATGGTATTGAAGTGTATGTAGGTCGTGGATTGATTATGGTAGCAATTAAAACAACTAGTATTAGTAGTAGTAGAAACTATTGACTAAAACAGTTGTGTCTCTTATTGTCTTACATCAGTGTCAGAGTTGTGTTCATTCATGCTGTCATGGTTGTCCTCCTCCCCTGTCTTTTCCTCCCTCCTGTCCTCTTCTTCTAGATTTTTGACCTCCTGCTCTGAGTCGTAGCCTACGTGTGATCCTCTGAGTGTGGACAGGCCGCTGTCCGTGTAGACTTCAGGCAGGCTGTCTTCCTCACACTCACTGCTGTCTCTGCGCCTCAGGCCCGGGTCACACATAGCCAACGCCAGAGTGTCACAGCTGGGCCGGCGGCTGTACACAGGAGGGAAATCCTCCATACGCTGGCTGAACCTGGGGAAGAGGTCAGGAGATTATGTGAATCCAAACATCTATTTCTGCCTTTTACAATTGCTGTGAGTTAAACATATTGGTCCAATCATCAGTAAGTTGACTCTTTCTTCAATGCAAGACAACAACCAAAAAGAAATACCTTTTCTGTGTACACATTCATGTGTGCTAGGAGAAAATCATATTTTATTGATATTTGAAACTCTGTATTTGAGATATAATTCCTATAGATTAAAATATGTTAAGCTTGTTCTTAAAAAAATAACCCTGAAGCTCCTAATCATCCTTAATCTACTGTATAACATCTCAAATTAAATATGCAACCGAGTAAATGAAATGTAAAGTGTTCATCAACCAAACCTGTTTTCAAAAAGAAGAATATAATTTCATATATACTCAAAAAGAAGCACTCACACACAAGGTCAGAAGATTTGGTGATACTTAAAATGATATAAATTGAGACTGCTTAAAGAGGGCTTTCTAAATCTGGCAGAGTTAGTTATTCCACTCTAGTTCAAGCAAACATAAGCAATTCACTCTGAGCCTACCGGGTACAAAATGAAAGCAGAGCAGGTGTTATTGCTGCCTGATTTGGCACCCCATGTGTAACTTTGGACCAGGATGGTCATCATCTCACCAAGATCACACTGGTGGTTGTTATTCCATTCAGCAAACAAGAGCATTTTACTCAATCAGGTGAAATATTCGAAATGTTTAATCCTCCTCATTGTTTGCAGTTCTTACCGATCCATTAGTGCATAGGGTGATGTGAAGCAGATGCTTTTACTTCTTGCTCTCTCCTTAATTTCTCCTGGTGATCCAACGTTACCAGACTGTAACACACAACAATTAAAAATAAGCTTTCCGTTGTTTCATAGCTTCCTGACATTGACAATCAGTCACACAGTGAATGTTTGGCTTGTTGTTCCAATTAATGCTTATTTTTTATGTATTCATTATATAATAGGGTTTAACCATCAGCATGCCACGGTTTCCTCTTTGTCTTTCAGTAAATACAAATTAGAAATGCATTACCAAATATATTACACTGCAATACAACTTCAATGTCTTGCAAAAAACCCTAAAATTGTAAAGCAAAAATAGCCAAAGTGAATCACATTTATGGTTAAATGACCAAAAACTGAACTGAATATTTATATAGATAATCATCACAATATCCAACCCAATATGTTAAATAAGCTTTTGAATTTGTATTCTTTTTTCAATGAACTATGGAGTGTTACCCGGTTGCTCCTCTCCAGGGTGGATCTCAGGCCATCATTGCTGTCATGCAGCTTCCTGTTGGCTGACCTATCCACACAGAAAGAACAAAAATCATTATTGGATTAATTTGTATTCGCCAATACACCGTATTTTTCCTTTAGAATCTGTGTAAATTCTTGGTGCAGTTTCTGACTTACTGCATAATCTCAATCTGGCTCTCCAGGATGTCCCGCTCATCAGCGAAGTGTTTCATGAGCTCCTCATCGCTGCAACAAAACACAACAAGTGTTAATTATTATGAATCAAACAAAGGAGAACAATCAAAGTGATGATAACCTGAGATAGTGTCAGTCTAAATTTATTTTTTCCTTTCTCAAAGGACACCATATGCAAAATCAATGACTATAAAAACTGTTAATAAAAAGGAGATATATTTCCCTGCATCCCAATGAATATCAGTACACCCAGAGATTGTATTGACGTCAGATCAACTGATTAACTTTAAGACATCACAGCTATTTTATGATCACCCTGACACAAAGACAGAGAAACAACAATGTGAACACCGTCACTGAGATGGTCCGAGGAGGCGGAGTGTAATCCTGCCACTGGTCATGTTGTTTCTGTTGCTTAGTAACGCTGCTGAAGAAGTTACTGTGTGTGTGAAGTCACTCCAGGATATCCTGTTTCAGCTGTGACGAAATGATAACACCCCCGGGAACCTGTCTGTCATTCTGAGGGAGCGAGGCCTCTGCCTTTCTCTGTCCCTCTGCAGCAAATGATCTCAATGGTGGGATTGTTTGATTAGCAGACTGGGGCCACATTGATTCACTTTATTCATCCAAATCGAAGACATTTTGTAATTCAAAATAGGTTTGAAATGTACGTAAGTTTGAGTTATTTTTTTTGTGGAGAACAGGTTGCAAATATTAAATATTCTTAGGTTCAGATAAATCTACAAGTCAGGTAAGAAGAAAGTGGAAAAAACCTGTTCTGCAACTCAGTAATTATTGGTTTAGAGTTGACAGAGTAGGAAAAGAGTGTCTGTCTATGTGTGAGGATTAATGCAGTATTATGTAACAATCCTTTTTCTTTCTCACTATGAGAAAGAAAAAAATGTGTCCCATTTGCGTCTTGCAAAAACCAAATGGGAACTAAAACAAAAAAACAAACTTGAAACTAAAATCAAAACGACTTAAGATAAATCCAGTCAAATAACCCCAACATGTATTTACTGTTCAGAGCTGATGCTTTGGTCTGTGAGCTCTGTCTTCAGAGAGTCCATTTCACTGCGCAGACAGGCCACTTTGGTCTGAGACTTCAACAGCTCTTGTTTTAAACGCTGGTTCTCCTGAACACAAATGTAAGGGTGTTAAGAAAAGTAAGAGAAATGGCTCATACAGAAATCAGTGACATTAAAGACATTATTTTAAGTGCACTCAGTAGTCTCACCAGGGTCAGCTCATTGATCTTCTTCTTCAGCGCTGGGCTCTCGTCCTTCACCGTGACGTTCTTGTATTTCTCCTCGATCTGATGGACAAGTTCACATATTTAGGATTGAGATTATCTAACTTCCAGATGTACTTAAATGTAGATGCCCTCACGCTGTTGCTGTTGTAACAGCATGTACTGTACACATTTATTCACACTATCATGGTCATTTTGACGTTCCTATCAGTGGAGACATTTAATGATGTTAGGATTTCAAGTCAAAGGGAAGAAATTGGTCTTAGTGTTTAGTGAATGCAGTCACTGTTGTTGCTAAAGGAACCTCTCTTATCCCGCTGTTAAGCAGAACAGTGTTTTTACCAAACATGTACAGATAACCTTTAATAAGCTGTTAGTTTGCATCTAAATGCAGTCCTTGTAACGAAGCCTGACTCATTTCATCGGGACACTTCAACAGTACACCTTTGTATTTCTAAAACGTTGTATAACTTGTTTTAAATGTTTCAGACTTCATCTGAAGTAATGTATAGTTTAATGGTTGTCCTACTTAGCTCTGATCTGATGCCTTATTCTCGTGCACTACAAAGTTAAAGGTTAATTAAGTTGGAAATAAATAATTGAATGCAAATCTTAATCATCTGCTGGACAGACACCTTATGCTTAGATGTAAGAACTCATCCACCTTACTCACTTTAGTTAGAACAAATTAAATAATAATTTAGGGGTTTCCCAAATACTTTAAAACAAATATTGAACGTTACTTTACCATAGAGCATATTAAAGAGAAACTGCCAGCTGTTCCATTGCCCTGCTCGTATTTATCTGAAAGCGTACTACTTTCTTAAACATCTTGTATTTTTCTTTTTTTATTAATGTGGTATTTTGTTTGTATGTTTTTAATTTCTTTTTGTGTAGATAACATATCACTGGATGTCATTACGGTGTTGTTCAACTGTTGAAAAATCACAATAAAAAAGCTTAATTTATGTGAACAGTAAATTCATATTTATGTGATGCTGGAGTCTCTATTGACCTGCATGTGGTGCGGTGCAGTAAAAATGAAATGCAGTCAGAAAGCTGTGAGATTTACCATCTGCATCTTCTGGATCTTACACTGCAGCTCACACACTTCAGTTTCATAACTTCTGCGCAGCTCACTCAGTGCAGCCTCTGTTCGTTTTTTCTCCTACATAAAGACACATATAAACAAAAACACACATGAGATATTAACTGATTAACCAAAACAACAGTTTATGGAACTGTGTGTGTGTGTACGTGTGTGTGTGTGTGTGTGTGTGTGTGTGTGTGTGTGTGTGTGTGTGTGCGCTCTGTGTGTGTGTGTGTGTGTGTGTGTGTGTGTGTGTGTGTGTGTGTGTGTGTGTGTGTGTGTGTGTGTGTGTGTTTGCTTTCTCTCCAGTTATGTAATTCTTGTGACTATTTCAAGGCAGGTTGCTGCTAGGGAATTGCTATCAGCAACTTTCTACAGTATCTACAGTTTCCA